TATGATAAAGCGAGCGAAGCAACAACATATCATCTTACAAGATATTTTACGCATTATGATAAAGCATTAGATAACATAATTATGCCTTCATCCTGTGTTTAAGGTCATGTTATCTCATGTTTTATGCATCGTGTAAAAACTGTGAACTGTTAAAGCTCAACCATCCGAAAGCAGCCGTGTGCGTGAACCTGATACGTACACGGCAAATATCCATGTGTGTTTGTTTGCCCGTGTCTGTGCGTGGGCCATCTAAAATACTTTTTATGTGGTAGTTTATATTTGCCAAAACATAAAGCCTTGTGATAACTAACTAACTAACTTTCACCGCTTTGCTTTTCCCTTCCCTTTATTTATTTATTTATTTATTTATCTCTTTAACCTTTATGAAAAGGAATAAAGCATAATTATCTGTGTCTGTATGGTGATTCTACGACAATAAGTGTATGTCAGTGAAATGTCAGAGTATTTTAAGGGTCGTTAGTTCTGTCTGATGAACCAACACTGCCTGGTCTTGGTGTTCCGACCCTGGACAGAGAGAGGTAGTTATGTATATATGAATGTGTATGTTTAATATACTGTTAAATATGTACACGGTATAACGACTGTTTATATGTGTGTCTCTGTTAATCTTTGAGTTATAAATTAGGTGTAAATAATTTTTATCCACTTATACTCACGGACACACACAAATAAACATAAAAATACAGACATAAGCACAAATAACATCCATATTCACTCATTATATGATCATTATATTATCACAATTATATTATTATTATATTCACTTTTTCATGTTTACATTAACCTTCCTACACTCGTTCGTTCCCATGGCTCTGGCTTCGAACCAACAGGATCCACGTAATTCGAAAGGACATCCGAACATGACCCCGGTCCTCAAAAGACATCACAAATTTGCTTAGAGATTCTTGACCCTGTTTGGCCTTTCCCTCGGCATCGCTCCTCAACCCTTTCTTCGTTATTTATTTTCTCTGTTTTGTTGTTGGTCGTATTGGGATTCGGTTTCCGGTTTGGTTTTGGGGTTTTCCTTTTTTTGCGTTCGTTGTCTCTCTCGGTTTCGGTTTCTGTCTCTCTGTGTCTGTTTCTGGCTCTGTTTCTGGTTAATTTCTGTTTTTTTCTTATCTCTGTATCTCTGTTTTTATCTCTATATCTGTTTCTCTTACTATCTCTACCTCTGTTTCTGCCAATGTTTTTGTTTTCATTTCTATCTCTGTCCCTGTTTCTGTAACTATCTGTATCTCTGTTTCTGTTTCTTTTATTATCTCTATCTCTGTCTGTTTCCGTTTCTGTCTGTGTTTCTATCTCTGTCTCTGATTCTGTGTTCATTCTGTCTATGTTTCTGTTTCTGTCTCTCTGTGTCTGTCTTTGTCTCTGCTATGTCTCAATCTCTGTCTCTATTTAATTCTCTGTTTCTCCTCTATCTCTATCTTTATGTGTATCTCTTTTCTCTTTCTATTGTCCCCATTGCTATGTCTGTTACTGTCTCTGTCTGTGTCCCTCTCTGTGTATCTTTGTCTTTTTATGTTCCTGTTTCTATTCTGTCTCACTTTCGGTGTCTATCTATATCTCTCTCTTGCTGTCTGTCTGTCTGTCTGTCTCTCTCTCTCTCTCTCTCTCTCTCTCTCTCTCTCTCTCTTCCTCTCTCTCTCTCTCTCTCTCTCTCTCTCTCTCTCTCTCTCTTCTCTCTGTCTCTCTTCTCTCTCTCTCTCTCTCTCTCTCTTCTCTCTCTCTCTCTTCTGTCTCTCTCTTCTGTCTCTCTCTCTCTCTCTCTCTCTCTCTCTCTCTCTCTCTGCTCTCTCTCTCTCTCTCTCTCTCTCTCTCTCTCTCTCTCTCTCTCTGTCTCTCTCTCTCTCTTCTCTCTCTCTCTCTCTCTCTCTCTCTCTCTCTCTCTCTCTCTCTCTCTCTCTCTCTCTCTCTCTCTCCTCTCTCTCCTCTTTCTCTCTCTCTCTCTCTCTCTCTCTCTCTCTTCTCTCTCTCTCTCCTCTCTCTCTCCTCTCTCTCTCTCTCTCTCTCTCTCTCTCTTCTCTCTCTCTCTCTCTCTCTCTCTCTCTCTCTCTCTCTCTCTCTCTCTCTCCCTCTCTATCTCTCTCGTCGTCGTCTGTTCTCTGCTCGTCTTCGTCTCTCCTCTCTCTCTCCTCTCTCTCTCTCTTCTCTTTCTCTCTCTCTCTCTCTCTCTCTGTGTCTGTGGCTGTTCTGTCTGTTCTCTCTCTCTCTCTCTCTCTCTCTCTCTCTCTCTCTCTCTCTCTGCTGTCTCTGTCTGTCCTGTCTCTTCTCTCTCTCTCTTCTTTCACCCTTTCTCTCTCTCCTCTCTCTGTCTCTGTCTCTGTCTCTGTCTGTTCTGTCTGCTCTCTCTCTCCTCTCTCTCCTCTCTCCACTCTCCATTCCCTACCTTCTCTCTCTCAATCAACAATATCATAAATTGCACATAAACTCCACAATAACAATCCCATCTATTTAAATAATAATAAATATCTAAATATCT